GTATGGATCACTTGGGTTGTTACCGACATCTGGTGAAAATTTCATGTCATTAGCACCTCTAGTAATATATTTACTGAGAAAAATGTCGACGTGTTCAATACTTATTTTACCCGCTGTATGTGTCATTGTAACTCATACCAGAACCCTGGAAAAAAAATATTCCTGTGTGGGGTAGTGTTTTTACATTAACATATAAACATAYTAGTTGAAATGATTCAAGCACAGTGACAAAACTGGCAAAAACACTTTTATTTTTTGTTTTAATCAAAATTTTCCACTCAGGACTGTTTGCTTTAAATGGGTACAAAGTGATTTTTACAAGGTTTTCCTGGCACGGTAAAGCTTTCAGTTGTGTAAATATCGCAACATTTTCCTCGTTGAACAAGACATGCACTGTGCTGCTGCCCTGACTGAACAGTAGTAAAATCATTTTGCGTGTTTGTCTGTTATTGTGCAATTTGGTGTTAATAGTGGGGTTGGATTAGYACCACGTGGACCCAAACTTTTGCATGGAGAAGGCAGTGATCCAGCTCCAAGACTTCCATTACATCAGAACTTTTGATTCTTTTGAGTTTTTTTTTCTTTTGAGTTTTTACTAAAGCAGAACAACTGCAGGCCTAACAGTCTTTGAAGGAATGCATATTGCCAGCCAGTCAATTGTAGATATATTCATTGATTACGTTCTGAAAGTTTCATTCAAATCTGCCCAGTGATTCTATGGACACATGCAAAAACATTGGGTGATAATTATGAATTTTAAAACTTGTTTTGGTCTTCATCGGGGGGACTGCAAAGCTTCTCACGCAGAGGTCATCATAAGTGAAATGCTTCTGCTGCTCAGCTTCATTGTTTTTGGGCAGACTTTGGCCCCGCCCACCTAGACGATCTTAACCAATCAGCTCTTCGCTGCCTCAGACTCGTAGGTGTAGCCTTCATAAGGGCTCTCTGCCTCCACAAGACAACGGTACACATTTTACCGCCGATTGTAGACCACGCGTCGTATGAGCTTGTTTCTCCCAGACGCAGTGACTTTTTTTTAACAGCAGCCACAAATTCAGGATCGCCCGACGGTGCCTCTCCCTTTAAACTCTGTCCCTCTGCGGACGACAGATCATCTCGTTGGATGCAGAAACTAGCAACGATGCGGCGGCCCTGCTGTTAACTCRTTGGACTGGACGGGGGCGAAAAGAAAAACGTCTTTTTCGCCGGTTCACTCTTTCTCAAAAGGAGGCAGAAAGAATAGAAATCCACAATGAAGCTGAAACCGAACCAGACCAGGACATACGACGGAGAYGGCTTTAAGAAAAGAGCAGCTTGTCTGTGCTTCAAGAACGAACGTGAAGAGGAGGTAAGGAGACCCTCCGCAGTGAAGCGTTGTGTTGGACGGGCTGTCATTCAACAGAATGAATTAACCATACAAAATTTATCGGTGGAGCCCTTCAATTTGGGGGGTTGTCRTTATAATTTTGTTTGTTTCTCTCGAGGCCTCTGTTTAGGTTTGTGTGCGTGTCCGTGCTGCGGTTWCTGCTGATGCGCCCGGGGCTATCCAGTTTAGGCTAGTTCGAGGARCACGTCGAGAAGAGACGAAAAAGCGTTGTTGTCAAGAAAGCGTCACCTAACATCAAAAACTAACGGGATGTGACTTTCAGAATAAAACACTTCACCAGCAATTTAGCTTGAAACCGTCCCCAATWGTACACGCAATGCTTTTATTTTGGAGGTACGTTTCATGCTACATCCGGTGTCCTACTCGCTAGCTTGTGTGAACTCGAGCAGGGAGGGCGAGGCGTTCTTTTGCATGGCTAATTTAACAGCAGCTTTAAAGTGGACTTGTGTGCTTAGTGATGGGTTTTTTTTAATTAAAGACCATAAAACTAATTTTGAATCTGTTTATTACGTGTCACGTTAGTTATTTTATTATGTCGGTAGTGTTGACACCCATGACCAAGCATTAGCCATCCAGGAAGGCTGCTGCATCCCACTGGTGTTGTGCCGAAAAAAGTGTCCTCGTCAAGGGGTCACTCTCGTCAGCATTAAAGGGCGCATAATAAAGAATTGATTTGTTTGAAACGATAAATTAACTAGCTTTCATAAGGTTTTGCTTTAGATGCAGCATATAACAAGTTTTATT